CTTGCAGCTCTCTGGATAACTTATCCGCAAAGGCTTCTGCATTAGAGATGGCATATTCACAGCCTTCCATCATTATCTCAATGTCCTGCTCTTCTCTGGCATTCAACTCTTGATACTCGTCCACCACTTCTTCATCCCCTCCTGCCACATTCTGGTTCTCACCACTTGGAACAGATTCTTGAGAGGGGAACACACACAAAGAACACAATAATGAAAAACTGATACAGGGCACAGGCCATCAAAATCTTTTCAACAGACTTAGCACAATCTCAAAAGAAAGGGAAGATTACTGTCTGGGCAAAATCAGCCTGACAAGACCTCTTTTAGTTACAGATGAATCTTTACACCTAATAAACTCAGTTGTGGGAGATTGCTCTTCCTGCTATCTCAGAATGAATTTCACAGTAAATCCAATCTCTCAATCTCTTTTTAGTTACAGGCTGATCTTTTGCTTGATATGACTTTTTATTCTGGAAGGGCTTTTGTGATATACTTAGTTTAGTTTGCAGGATGAGAACCCGAACCACTGAAATCAAACACAACAGGCAGCCATTGAATGGCACCCACTGCTCTCAAGAGGGTGATCTGCTGTAATTGCTTGGTATTGGACTAGGGCCCCTTCTGCACTGCCATATAAAATCCAGATTATCTGCTTTAAACTGGATTGATTATATGGCAGTGTAGACTCAAATAATCCAGTTCAAAACAGATAATGTGGATTATCTGCTTTGATAACCTGGATTATATAGCAGTGTAGAAGGGGCCTAGGACTACAAGAGACCACAGTTCAAATCCCCACTCAGTCACAGAAAACTACTAAGTGACTTTAAGCAAATCACTCTCCGAGTATTGAAAAAAGGCAATGGCAAACCTCCTTTGAATAAATCTTGGCAAGAAAACCCTAATAGAAGGTTATCATAAGTAGGAGTCAACTTGGAGGCACACAACAACAGCATGACTATCACTTCTATATGCTATGCACAGATTTTTCAAATCCAGATATGAATTTCTTGCCATTTCCCATTTTGTTTTCATTTTTTAACTGCTTAACATGTTTGCCAGTCTATGCACCGCTGCTACTGAAGTGTCCTGGGGCAGGAAATGGATCCTTGCAGTTCTCCAGCCCTGCTTCAGCATATAATACCACAACCCTATAACAAGAATGAGGAATATATGCTCTTATTCCAGGTACTGGTGGATACTTATCAGCTTTATTCACCACTGCTAGTGGGAGCTGCAATCAAAACATATCTGGAAAGAAATATAGTCCACACATCACTGAATAGTTAATTGATGCTTTCTAGCATATACACAAAAATTAGATGCCTAGACCTGAGCCAATATACTTGCTTTTGGCCTGCTCTATAGAAGTAATAGCATTGAAAGTTCTTTCACATATTTTCTGTTTGTTGCTAGACCCTCCCCCTCCTTGTATATCTCATATACCTTGTACATTGTTGTTTTGGAGAGTGTTTTCCCCACAATGACCTGAAATAATTCTGCGTCATTATGGTGGAGGAAAAAAGAGATGCCATGCCACTCAAACAGCCACACTGTAGATACTGATGATATCAATACAAGCAGCAACAACAACAAAAATGAAAAACAAGAAGACTATATCTCCACTGCTACTAATCACAAATCATTCCCACACTTTCATTGTTGCTTCACTACAAACTCTCAGAACAGTCTCTTGTTTGAAGAAGTTCACAAATTTACTTCTTCTTCCCCAAGATAGACACGATTTTCTCAAGTTGTATGTATCCTATTTCAAATACCACTTTACTAAAACAATGGCATTTAAAAAAAGGTAACCCACATATATTTTATTATTTACTAGCTTGGATACCCTTCATTGCTCCAGTTGTTATTATTTTTTTATACCAAATGCATAAGGTTGTGCATTAACTACAACTGACATAATGCCAGGTTAACCCTGAGAAACTCCATCACTACTTAAAGTTTGTTATGTTAGGCAAGTTTTCTCTAGATGCATCATTGGTGGGGTTCAGTGTGCTCTCTGACTGTAGGGTAAACTATAACTCCCACCTTGGTGCGTCAGTTCCCTCAAACCCCTCCAGTAGGTTGAGTTAAGTCATGGGGGTTCTGTGTGCCAAGTTTGGCTCAAGTCCATCATTGGTGGAGGTAAACAGTTTCTCTGGTTGAGGGTGAACTACAACTCCCAAAAAGGAACGTCAGTTCCCCCCAAACACCTCCAGTATGTATACCAAGTTTGATCCAGATCCATTGTTGTTTGGGTTCATAGTGCTCTCTGGATGTAGGTGAACTACAAGTCCTATAAATCCCTTCAAAGACCTCAGTATGTTTTGTTGGTCATTGGGGTTCTGTGCTAAGTTAGTTCCAGGTCCATTGTTGATGGAGTTCAAAGTCCTCTTAGATTGCAGGTGAACTTTACATCCCAGTACCCACAACTCCTATAAATCATAGTGGATTCTCCCCAAACCTCTCTAGTATGTTAAGTTACTAATCAATTCCTCTGTTTGCTGTGAACCATAGAAAAGTATAGGAAAGGGCTAATGGAGAGGCAGTAACACTGGGATGTCTGTGGTGGAGGAAAAACAGAAAATCTAGGATGAAATTATCCCTGTATGAAAGCCTTCACTTCAGTGGTGGGTGGTGTTGTGTTTGTGGAGGACATTGTAGATGTTTACGGCACTCTCTATAATCTGCAGTGTCATTGGAGGGAGGGCTATTCATGTCTCCTGAGTAGTGGGAACTATAGCTATCTGTGGAAGTGGGAGCCTGCCTGTATTAGTGGACACCCCAGCCACACACATACATATTTTCACTTTTATTATGGATATAGATGTTGTATGTTTCACATCAAGGAAAAGTAATTATTGAAGATACCTCTCATGTCGTGCTATTTATCCAGGTATTAATCAAACATAAAATATGAGGAGATCTAGAGTCCTTAAGTTTGTTATATTTAAGCAGTTGAAAAACGGTTTTGATTGCTTTCAAGGGTATTACCATAAGTATAACATACTTTTTCAAAAGTAGATAATATGTTTATAAAGTAACTTTTCAGTGTAATCCAAATTAAGCCCCAGAAAGTTTAGTGGGACCTATAAGCGCAGGATTGCTTGTAAACTATGTTCAGGTCTTCAATACGACAGATTTAATACATAACAAATTAGCACATGTATTCTCAACACCAAAGAAACATGTTGAAAATAATCTGATCAGAGGCTCGGTCACATTGCACCGTGATTTTTTCAGTAAGAGATCAGAAAATGTGTTCAGTTTTTGCTGGAAATGTCAGGTTTTTTAAATAATCTTTGTTAACATAAGATGTCAACAAGGATTGTACCTCAAATGATTTTGAAATTCCAGGCACGGGGTGGCATTAGGTGCATGATTTTGTCTCCACCATAGCTACCCACATTTGAGAGGAAGATAGTTTAACTGCCACTGCCAACTTTAAAGCTTTACTCCATTTTCAGAACTTTCCTGGCTGGCCAGAGGAAAGCATTTCATTTTAATCAAATGGTTTACAGACAGTTTTCAACAAAGCAAAAAGCAAGTCACACAGAAGAAGTAAAATGGAAAGGAAAGGTGTTACGCACCTTCAGCGACTTTAGGTAGTTCTGAAGAATTAAAAGTATGAGAAAAGCAGAGGAAAGGAAGCAAAGAATATTAGCCAAGCAGTGAATGAACAGGGAATTGTTTTTAAAAATGACAACAAGTTGTCATAGTTTCGAAGTTTTTTTAACAAAAATTATGAGAAGTAAATTACAAAGCAGATTTCTTCATATATATGCAATGACAGAAAGACCACATCGTTATAAAGCCCAAACCCACACCAACATGCAAGCTCAGCAATTAATATCAGCAGCAAATCTGAAGAATCCTTAATCTTCTAAGGTTTATTCAGTTGTTACTTTGAGGATGAAGTCAGGCCTCCTAAGTATGCTATGTTTTAATTTAAAAGGTACTCCTAATGCTGAATTTAAATTGGGGAGGTGAAACAGAAAGATTACAGCAAAACATGTCAAATGAGAGATTGCTGTGGCCATTTTTAATAGGTACTTATCATATTAAAAATAGCCACCACAGTCTCTCTGCAGAGAGGCTTATGTAATGAGCTCTTATTAAAGATGGCCACACATTACATTCTTCGGGCTACCTTATGCTGCTTCTGAATGCCATTTGGACTGTAAAAATGGTGAGGAGGGGCTGCTTTTCTTTCTGTTTTAGAGAAATGGAGGGGCAATGGGGCTTCTCATGTTTGCTTTTTGTCACTGACTTCACGCTGGGTTCCTATTCCAGTATTGACTAATGTATCAATCCACCCAGGTTTTTGAATAGGTTTTTGTCAAACTTTTTCAATTTGAATACAAGTAGTGTTGTTACTGTATGTTACTGATCATATTGCAAATGAAATGAGCCTCATCCTTGGCAGAAATGTTTCATGTCAGCAAATGAAAACAATAAGTGACTGTGACAAGAAGTCTGACTCATGCTGAATTATTTGGCTACTTTTTGGATTGCATCCTATTGCTCTGTCCAGTAAGCAAGGCTACTGTCCAAAATGGACAAGTAGGTACAGTAGACTTGTGTGAAGGGAAGGGAAATAAGCGATGGGGCTCATTTCAAACTTTTATTTAATAAAAGGAACACTGAGTTATGACTTTTTACAATGAATTAACAACAGGGGACAATGGCTCTAGGTGTTTTTTTGTTTTTTGGGGGTTTTTTTGTCGTGTCAGGAGCGACTTGAGAAACTGCAAGTCGCTTCTGGTGTGAGAGAATTGTCCGTCTGCAAGGACGTTGCCCAGGGGATGCCCGGATGATTTGATGTTTTATCATCCTTGTGGGAGGCTTCTCTCATGTCCCTGCATGAGGAGCTGGAGCTGATAGGGAGCTCATCTGCCTCTCCCCGGATTGAGCCTGCGACCTGTCAGTCTTCAATCCTGCCGGCACAGGGGTTTAACCCACTGCGCCACCGGGGTTGTTACTATTATGTTTATTTATACCCTGTTTTTTCTCTCTACCAAAGAGACTCAAAGCAGCTTACAATAAAACCAATGCAATGCAATTAAAACCAAAAATATACAAACATTAAAATAGAATTAAATATTAATTGTATTAAACAGTTTAAATCCTTAAAACTGATGAAAATGTCATTGCTATCACATAAATTTAAGTCCTGCTGAAATTATTCCATGGGACACATTTAGGATCAGGGTCAACAGTATATGATGCTCAATGGAAAACTTTGCCTACTGTTAGTAGAAGCATGGATTTGGGTAAAACTAGCGACAATACGGATGTTCTACTGTTTAACATAAACTGAATTACTATTTACACTACATTACAGATTAATAAGAGATTCATCTCAAAATTTACCTTCAAGAAGCTGAGCGCTAACATTTATGAAGTCAATCTTTTTTCTGATATAACGCTGGTTGAGTTTCCAAATACAGGAAATGAAGATATTCTTTTCTGCTATACTGCTAGCAACCCATTTGTATATTTTGTCAAAATGGAGATCAAACTCAGGACTTTCCTGAAAAACAAGCACAAAAATTAAGCAGCACTCACATTATACTTTTAAAACAAACAGATGGAATCTAGGCAACCCTAAAGTACTTACTAATACCCATAATATGACAGATGCTGCAAAGAAAAAAACATAACTCATAGCATCATACAGTTGGAAACAACTGCAAAGTCCATCCAGTCCAACTTCCTACTATGCAGGATTATACAATTAAGCACTCCTGAGAGATGGCCATTAAAAGTCTGTTTAAAGACTTCTAAAGAAGGAGAGTATACCAAAATCTAACCCAGTCAATACCACTTTTTCAAGTAAAAAAAAATCATCCTAATGATTAAGTGGAATTTCTTTTCTTGTAATTTGAAAAGACTGGTTCATGCTTTAGTCTCTGAAATGACAGAAAACAAACACAATTTCTTCAGATTTTTAAATCTGGTTATCAAGTCACCTCTTACTTTTGTCTTCTCCAACCAAAATATACCCTAATCATTCCTTCTAGAGTTTTGTTTCCAGTCTCTGATCATACTGCTTGCTCTGGACACAATCCTGTTTATCAATGATATCATGTTGAAGAAAAGTATAGGAGTTCCATATAAAGTAAATAAAAGCATTATGAATTACAACTCCCTAACCAGACAAAAAATTACTTTTAGATGACATAAAAATAGAAGAACCTAGGGGGGAAAAGTTTGCAGTGATGTTTAATTTCAGTGTTAAATAGAGAGACGGAGGAGATGAGGAAGAGGGAGAGCGAGCAAGGAGGGAGAGAAAGAAAGGGAGGGGAGAGGGAGAAGGAGAGCTTCTGGGGAAGAGGGGTGGGGTGGGGTTGGGGGGGAGGAGGGGAGGAGATACGGAGGGATCGAGTGAAATGAGCCTGAAAAGATGATGAAACAGAGGAAACAGCTCAGAGAAAAATGGGCGGAGGGGAAGAGGAGGGCTAGGAACAAACGGGACTGAATGATGCGGTGCTAGGAGGAAACGGAAAGGAAGGGGGAGAATCAAAGAGAGAAGAGGAGAGTAGTCAGGGATGGAGAGCGGAGGGAGGGACGAGAGAGGGGAGGGGGAGGAGGGATGGAAGGGAGGGGAGAAGGCGAGGGTTGGAAGGAAGGGGGGAAGCTAGGGAGGGAGATAGCGCCCCAGAAAACTGGCAGGGCAGGCGCAGAGGATAGGTAGAATGGAGGCGAGATGGCGGGGGAGGCGAGAAAGAGGAGAGGGAGAGGGGGAAAGGGAGAAAGGCAAGTAGGGAGGGAGAAGGAGAAAGGGGGAGTGGAGAGGGAAGGAGAGGCAGGGAGGAAGGGAGAGGGAGAAAGGAGGAGAGGTGAGGAGAGGCAGGGAGGAAGGGAAAGGGAGAAAGTAGGAAAGGCAGGGAGAGGCAGAGAGGGTCAGGGGGAGGGAGCACTAATCTCACCTACCCTCCAAAACTGTTTCTGTTCTGTAGAAGTTTGACATGCAGCCTGATACACTCACTGAGTTTAATAGGACTTGCTTCCAAATTAGTAGGAATAACAGTAATCCTAGTATTTAATACCACCAGTCAAAGATAGTGAAGCTGGCAAGCATGTAATGAAACTCCCCCTACCACAGCATCTTTGTACAATAAATATTTGCAGAACAGATAATTATAACTGTGACATACTTTGATGGCATCCTTGGCGTCCACAACAGCAAGATCTCGAAGTAGCCATGCAGTTTGCCTCTTGTAGAAGTCTCCCTTATCAGATTTTTTCACCTTTACCACATTCACCTGCACTGGGCGTTCCGTTGTCACTGTCAAGAAATGTACATCATTAGTCTCCCTATAATTGTCATTCTTGTTTTCCTGCAACTGAAAAATCAACAGCAAGATATCTGAGAAACCATCACCAACAAAAGCCCGGTTACAGAATCCTCCCCAGTTTACTTAATAAGAAAATGGCAAATCACTAGATATTCAGAGCATGCTTTCATTCAAAACTGCGCAAGATGTAGCAATCATAATAATCATCATCACCATCATCATCATGTCAAACAAGACAAGATCTAGATATACCATCAACATACTATCATTTTTACTTAATGGGACAAAACTAGAGAAGGCAATAGCAGCGTATCAGTTGGTGTAGTAGTTTCAGTATTAAAACTCTCACTTGGCAATGGAAACTCACTAAGTCACTCTCTCTCAGCCTTAGAAGAAAACAAAGGCAAGTCACTTGAGAAGAAAACGCCATGACAAGTTCACCTTAGGGTCACCATAAGTCAGAATTGACATGAAAGCACATAGCAGCAAAAATCCGTTTAGTCCTATTATATACAGATAGAAGTTTAACCCACTGGTGGTGCAGTGGGTTAAACTGCTGAGCTGCTGAACTTGCTGACCGAAAGGTCGCAGGTTCGAATCCGGGGAGCGGCGTGAGCTTCCGCTGTCAGCCCCAGCTTCTGCCAACCTAGCAGTTCGAATGCATGCAAATGTGAGTAGATCAATAGGTATCGCTCTGGTGGTAAAGGTAATGGTGCTCCATGCGGTTATGCCAGCCACACGACCTTGGAGGTGTCTATGGACAATGCTGGCTCTGTGGCTTAGAAATGGAGATGAGCATCAACCCCCGGAGTTGGACACGACTGGACTTAATATCAGGGGAAAACCTTTATCTTAACCTATAAGAGTTAAAGATAACGCTTCAATAACACATACCTGTTGCACATAGAAAGCAGTTTCTCTTCTTTTTCCCCGCTTTGCAAACATTGACAATGCTTAATAAACGTTCATCATTTGGAGTGAAAATATCCCTCTGTAAGGCATGCTTGATTGCAGTCATTTTCTCTGAACTGAAAGATAGAAGTCATGTCTAAGATCACGACATGCAAATATATTTCTGAGCAAGAAAACATTCTGCTATGTATATCACTTCACAGAACATGCTGTAGTGCAAAAAACAAAAAAACAAAACAAAACAAAAACAAAACAACAAAACAAAACAAAAACACAAAAAAACAATACAATGTTTAAAATTAAGAACAATTTTAACTAACATAAACTTACCAGTATTTCAGTTCATCATTTGGAGTGAAAATATCCCTCTGTAAGGCATGCTTGATTGCAGTCATTTTCTCTGAACTGAAAGATAGAAGTCATGTCTAAGATCACGACATGCAAATATATTTCTGAGCAAGAAAACATTCTGCTATGTATATCGCTTCACAGAACATCTAGTTCTCTAGAAAGAACCTTGTATTAGCCTTTGATTTAGTGCAATAAATCTTGAAGTGCAGGCTCTAGGACTCAAAGAAAATATCAGCATAAAGTACAAGGTATGATTTGCTTTTTTACAGTTGCTGATTGTGAACTTGAGTGTTTTATGCCATGTTGTAGGTGGAATAAATCATGAATTCACTCACACATCTGAAATTTTAACTGATGTTTCACAATACGAAGTGTACCAATTATGTTATTTAATATATTGGGCAACATAAACCACATTATAATAATCATATCCCAGATTACTCGGCAGAGTAATAAAGAATTAGACTGTAACTACAGAATGGCAAGTTCATTTTAAGCATTATGACCTACACCCAATAAAGCAAATACTGAACAGAGGCTGAGTAAAATTTAAATACTTCAAGAGAATTTAATATCTGAACTTTTGATTTCAAGCTACAGATATCTCAATATCATCTACTAGTGACAAAATCAGAATGTATGGCAATGTGGGAAACCTAGTTGTAAAACTTGACAGACTTGATCATGTTTTAAAGCAAACATCATCTTAGTCATTTATAAAGGCCAAAAGCACTGATATAAAATTTTTAACTGTTTTCTAATAATATCTTTAACCAAACATGAGGAACTCCCAGAAATTTTGGGACTTCGGTTTCCAGAACCAAAGCATTGGAGGTCCAGAAGTTCTCCACCTTTATTTTAAACCATTCCAAACACCAAACTCTCTGTAACTCAGATGAATTAATTTTGTGGATACATAACCTATATTTTTTCCTTGCGCTTCCCTAAAAATGGGCAATATATTTTATATGAGTAGTTTTCTTAAAATGTTAATACACATACATATAGGGTGTCACATAAATGTAGGCTGTTAGGAATTGTGGGAGTTAAAGCCCAAAACACCTGGAGGACCAACGTTTGCGCATGCCTGGGGTAGTGGTTTGAATGTGAGTTTCCAATCTACCCTATTTAGGCAAAGTCATGGAACGTGTGGTGGCTTCACAACTCCAGGGGTTCTTGGTAGACACTGATTATCTATATTCAGCAGTCTGGCTTTAGGCCGGGACATGGAACCCAAACAGCCCTGGTCGTCTTAGTAGATGATCTACGCCGGGGGCTAGAGAGGGGGAGTGTGTCCCTGTTGGTTCTGCTGGACCTCTCAGCGGCCTTCTATACCGTTGACCACGGTATCCTTCTGAGACACCTTGCAGGAATGGGACTTGGAGGTACTGCTTGGCAGCTCCAGTCCTTCCTAGAGGGACAGTCCCAGAAGATGTTATTGGGAGACACCTGTTTGACTCCACAACCATTGTCTTGTGGAGTCCCTCAGGGTTCATTACTGTCCCTGATGTTGTTTATCATCTACATGAAGCCGCTGGGGGAGATCATCCGGATTTTTGCAGTACTATGCTATCTGTATGCAGATGACGTCCAAATCTGTCACTCCTTCCCACCTGTTACTAAGGAGGCTGTTCAAACCTTGAACCAGTGCTTTGCAGCTGTGTCTGACTGGATGAGGACTAACAAATTGAAATTGAATCCAGGCGAAACCGAGGTCCTCTTGGTCAGTCGAAAGGTTGAACAGGGCATAGGGTTACAGTGCTGGATGGGGTTACACTCGAAAGGCCGAACAGGGCATAGGGTTACAGCCTGTATTGGATGGGGTTACACTGTGAAGATGCAGGTTTGCAGCTTGGGAGTGATCCTGGAATCATCGCTGAGTCTGGAACCCCAGGTCTCGGCGGTGGCCTGGGGAGCTTTTGCACAGTTAAAACTTGTGCGCCAACTGCACCTGTACCTTGATCTTAAGGCAGAAGATACAGCTTTAGTTTTACAAAATGCCGGGGTCTTCATGGAGAAAAGAGAACGGATATGGACTTGACCATATATGGGAAACAAAGACGGGTTTTGGTGCCAAAGATAAGTTTTTTGTGCAAGGGTGAAGTGTCGGTCAGGAGACAGTGCTGACTTTGCCAGATCAGTGCTGACTTTGCCAGATCAGCAGCTGTCTCCAGCTGTATTAGCATATCAGCATTTTGAGATGTTTCCAAAAAAGGGGCTTGCTTATTGGGAAGCGAAACCTAAAAGTGTATGATCTAATTGCTTAACGTATACATAATATTGACAGCTTTCTTAACCAATGATTTAATCTTTGGGGCGGCTCTTAAAGCCGAACCCCTTTGCATGTATAAAAGGAACACTATCCCTTTGTGCTGGGTGACTTCCCCCAGAGACGCCTTGTTGTGTCGGAAGTCATCTAGCAGCTGCTAAATAAAATACTTTGATTTCTTCTGAACCCTGTTGGCTGTTTTCCCTGACTCATCTGCGTCCGCAATCGGACTTGGTTTGAACATTTTGGCTAAGCTCTTGAGCATTGCTCAGGGGAAGAAAAAGGTCTGCTTCAATCTGGCTACGGTGGTCCACGCTCTAATTACATCCTGAATAGATTAATTCAACGCACTCTACATGGGGCTGCCTTTGAAGACTGTTCGGAAACTCCAACTAGTCCAATGAGCGGCAGCCAGATTGCTAACTGGAGTGACATACAGGAGCATCCTCAGAGGTATGTAGGATCGCACTACCTCTGAGGATGCTTGCCATAGATGCAGGCGAAACTTCAGGAGAGAATGCCTCTAGACCAGGGGTCCACAAACATTTTAAACAGAGGGCCAGGTCAAAGTTCCTCAAACTGTTGGAGGGCCGCACTATAATTTGAAAATGATGAATGAATTCCTATGCACAATGCACATATCTTATTTGTAGTGCAAAAACACTTAAAATACAATAATTAAAATGAAGAACAATTTTAACAAATATAAACTTATTAGTATTTCAATGGGAAGTGTGGGCCTGCTTTTGGCTGATGAGATAGGATTGTTATTGTTGTTGTTGTGTGCTTTCAAGTCATTTCAGACTTAGGTTGACCCTGAGAGGGCTGGGTAAATGACCTTGGAGGGCTGTATCCAGGCCCCTGGGCCTTAGTTTGAGGACCCCTGGTCTAGTTCTGGCCCAGTTTACTTGTCCGAACGGATCTCCCTCTACGTCCCACCTCGCAGTTTAAGATCATCTGGGGAGGCCCTGCTCTCGACTCCCACCAGCTGCAAATGTATCTGGGGGGAACAAGAGACAGGCCTTCTCAGCTGTGGCCCTCCCCCACCTGTGAAACTCACTTCCCAATGAGATAAGATCGCCCTCATCCCTCCTGTCTTTTAGGAAGAAATTAAAATCGTAGTTCTGGGACCAGGCTTTTGGACAGCAGGCATAATAGCACTTTGGATGTGGAATTTGACTGGAATGGTGATACGCCTGACATTACTGTTTTTATGGTTTTAATTAATGCTTTATTTATTGTTTTAATTGTTGTTTTGTTGTATTGTTATATGTAACGGCATCAAATTGTTGCCAAGTGTAAGCCGTCCTGAGTCCCCCTTCGGGGGTTGAGAAGGACGGGGTAGAAATGCTAGAAATAAATAAAATAAATAAATGTTGGATTATGGATAGAACCGCACTGTCGAATCAATGCAGCTGGTGATGCAATCTTTTTTAGTTTGTTGAGGCACCAGCCCTCTCAGGCAAAGAAGGCTCAAGACATTGTAAAACTACAACTCCCATAATTTCATAGTGGTTAAAGTTCAAGTGGTGTCAAATGCCTTATTTCTTCACTGGGAAGGCCATGGCAAACCCACTGAGAGGCCTTAGGGCTGTCACACCCTCTCAGCTTCAGAGGAAGGAAGGCCTCTTCTAAGCAAACTTTGGGGAGAAAACGACTCCAACGAACACATTTGGGGAGAGAGGATGAGGGAGATAAAGGAAAACAAGGGGAAGGGCTTCACAACAGAAAGCCCTCTGGCTGACCTGACACAAGGCCCTTCCCTCCCCGCCCTGCTCTCCTTACCCTAAGAGCCAGGACTGAGGCCTCTCCGCTGCCTCCAGAGACGCCTGTCACGCCCAGCCCCGAAAGACCCGCCTCCCCATCCTCCGCCCTCCAATCACAGCGCCTGCTTCGGTCGCGTGGGCAGGGCAAGGAAGCGGAAGTCCATGCAGACTGTGGAGACGGGGAAAAGGGAGAGACGAGTTTCTGGCGCTAGAGAGGGACGCACGCTGGAACTTCCGGTGCTGGGTGTCTCTCCTCACTTCCGGTCGTGGCAGAGCCTTGCGGGAAGGAGCAAAGGATGCAGTTTCTGGGTTGTTGTAGGATTTTTCCGGCTATATGGCCATGTTCTAGAGGCATTCTCTCCTGAAGTTTCGCCTGCATCTATGGCAAGCATCTTCAGAGGTTGTGAGGTCTGTTGGAACTTTCCCTTTTGCAAAGGATGCATTTTGACATCATCAGCCTCTTCCACACAGCTGTATAAAATCCCACATTATCTGCTTTAAACTTGAATATATGGCAGTGTAGACTCAGCCCAGTTCAAAGCAGATATTGTGGATTATCTGCCTTGATATTCTAGGTTATGTGGCTTATTTTTTAATCGTATCAGGAGTGACTTGGGAAACTGCAAGTCGCTCCTGGTGTGAGAGAGTTAGCCGTCTGCAAGGACGTTGCCCAGGGGACGCCTGGATGTTTTGATGTTTTATCATCCTTGTGGGAGGCTTCTCTC